CAACCGTTGATGTATTCCATCCCTATGATTTAGCCCCTTCCGGAATGTTACATAAATACAATCATATAATATGTAGGCTTTTAAGTCCAGCATCACTCAGCATAATGCTTTTAAGCTTCATCCATGTTGTTGGATGCATCCATAGTTTGTTCCTTTTTATGGCTGAGTAGTATTCCATTGTATGGATGTACCATAATGTGCTTATTCATTCATCTGTTGATGGACATTTGGATTATTTTCAGTTTTGGGTAATTATGAATAAAAGTGCTATAAACACTCATGTACAGAACTTTGTGCAGCCAAATGTTTTTATTTCTCTGGTAAAGATTTAGGAGTAGGATTACTTGTGTATTTTTATGTTTATAAGAAACCACCAAACTGTTTTCCAAAGTGGCTGTACCATTTTGTGTTCCCATCAGCAATTTTTGAGAGTTCCAGTTGCTTCGTTGCATAGATTTTTTCTTGTGCCTTTTTTTATTTAGTAAGCCCTTACTATTGGATATAGAGGACATGCCCAATTTTTCAGTTTTATAGACAACCTTGTGATGAGCAGCCTTATAAATATGGCTTTGAGCATTTATTTGATTGTTGCCTTGCAATGAAGTCTTAGAATAGAATTGTTGGGTCAAAGAATATTCTTGTGTTCAGTTTTGATTCATATTGCCCTCTGGAAAAGTTGGTACCAAATACATAACCACCAAAAAAATTGAGTGTCAGTTTCTCCACATTCTGGCAGTGCCAGTTTTTATTAATCTTTAAAATATTTAGTAATGTGGTAAGTAAAAATGACTTGTTGCTTTAATTTCTAATTCTTTAGTTATGATTGAAGATGAGCATCTTCTGTAATTTGGACATTTGCATTCGTTCTCTTGTGAATTGCCTGCTTGAGGTTTTGTCTATTTTTCTATTTTGTTTAAGGGGGGATTATTAAGGTGTATGTGTTTGCATTTAGGTATTTACCCCTTGTCTTCATATAGTCTGCAAATATTTATTCACTCATTTACTTTTGTCTGTTTTTATCTGTTGTTTTTTTGGTGAGGGAAATTTGCCCTGAGCTAACATCTGTGCCAATCGCCCTTTATTTTGTATGTGGGCTGCTGCCACAGCATGGCCGCTGACAAGTGGTATATGTCCACGCCTGGGAACCGAACCTGGGCTGCCAAAGTGGAGTATGCTGAGCTTAACCACTAGGCCACAGGGCCAGCCCCTGTATAACATATATTAAGTGAAAGAGTTGTATTATCATTTCAAAGAGATATTTGCACACCCGTATTCACAGCAGTGTTATTCACAATAGCCAAAAGGTAGAAGCAATCCAAGTGTCCATTGACAGATAAATGAATACACAAAATGTGGTATATATGTACAATGGAATATTATTCAGGCTTAAAAAGGGAAGAAATTCTGACACATGCTACAACACGGATAAACCTTCAGAACGTTATGCTAAGTGAACTACGCCAGTCACAAAAAGACAGACAATGCATGATTCCAGTTTTATGAAGTTTAATAAGTTTGGTGGTGTAGGTCTCCGCCTAGGAACCGAACCTGGGCTGCTGAAGCAGAGTGTGCTGAACTTAACTACTAGGCCATGGGGCCAGCCCCCGTCTGTTCTTTTTTAATGCAAAATTTTAAATATGTTTGGATTCAGTTACTTAATCTTTTTCACTTTGGTTTTTTGTTTCATACCAAAAGGTCTTTACTACTTCAATGGTATAAAATAATTTCTTGTTATGTCATATTTTTAAATGGTTGTTAATTTATTGCCTTTAAATATTTAACTTTTAATGTTTCATAGAATCCTGACTCTGCCACTTATTAGCTGTGTGGTTTGGCCAAGTCACTTAACCTTTCTGTGCCTTATCTGTAAAGGGGTATAGTAGTAACACTAATGTCAGAGGAGTGTTAGGAAGATTGAATGAGTTAATATGTGTACAGCATTTAGAACAGTTCTCGGCATCTGATAAGCAGCCAATGCATTGTTACTACTGCTGTTGTTAATCCGTTAATGGCTAACTAGTTTCCCCAGCATCACTTATCGAGTAATCTATCCTTTTCCCATTTTATTTGAAAGATTCCCGTCAACATATAATAAAATTCTTGTGCATGCTTAGATCTGCTTTCGTGTTGTCTTTTTCCACTGATAAGTCTTTTCTAATGCTAGTGCCAAATTTTTTTAATTATATGATATATTTAATATCTAATAGGAAAGGTCCACTCTCCTTACCTTTTTCATAATTTTCCTTTATCCCCCCTACATTAATTCTTCTAGATGAACTTAAGAATCTGCCAAATTCTTCCCCCACCCCAGGAAATCTAGTTGGGCATTTTATTGAGATTAAGTTAGACTGACAGATTTAATTGGGCCAAATGACCAGACTTACAAGATAGTTTGCCCATCTAAAGCACGTGTTCTGACTCTACTTATGCAAGTCTGGATTTTTGCCTCTCAGTCGACTTTTATTTTCTTCACGTACATACAGCACATTTAAAGAATTTGTTCTTAGGTGCTTTTGTTTTCTATCGCTGTGCTTTGTTTTCTCTTTCTGCCTCCCCATTTTATTTTTTCATCATGATTAGCATGTAGGAAAGATACGATTTTGCAGATTTTCTTACTGCCCACCTCACTGGCTCCTTCTGTGTCTAAAAGCACGCCGTGGATTCTCCTGAGCTTCCCAGGTAATCGCACCGCAAATAATATTCCTTCTTTCTTTCCAAAATTTATACCTCATGTTATTCTTTGTGTTGTTAACATAGTGACATCAAACATCCTTTTCTGATTTCACCCTTGGCTGAAACTGCTTTTAGTGTTTCCCTGTTAACTATGGTGCTGCCTCTGAGATTGCTTTCTCCCTCCTCCTCAGATCGTGTTAACTTTCTTACATGTTTATAATATGAAGAGTTTCCTTTGGAAGTTAAAAATTGCATCGCGAGATTCTACTGATGCTTTTTTCAGAACCTATCAATGACCGGTGTTTCTTGCCCGATCTCAGATGCTATCCACGGTGATGGATTTATTAACGTCGAATCATTTTGCGTTTCATAGGGAAAGCTCCGTGGTGTATTGTTCTTTTCATATGCTGCCAGATTCTATTCGCTATTTTTTAGTATATTTTTTATATATAGGAGCTTGTATTTATATTTATTTGGTCATGGTTTTTGTGTGTACTTTGTCAGATTTTGGTATCAGCACCAGAACACCTTTGTAGAAAAAGTAGGGGAGACGTTCTTTGCTCCTTATGCCTGGAAGTTTCAATAGCATCAGGCAGGACTGCAGGGTGGCGAGGAAACCCTGCTTTGCTCCTGATCCATCATGCAGTGCCCATAAACCCCTTCTTCACTTCATGTCTGACTTCTTATTCATAAAGAAACGCTGCTGGGTTTTTAATTTTTAAAAATGTGTAACTTTCCGAACACATTTTTCTGATTTTTCACTTTGACTGTCACCATTCACAGGTCCCTCTTAGGCTCTACAAAGCAGTGAGGGGTGTTGGTGCATAAATGTTTGAGTCCTGAACCCATCTGTCGCTACATTTGTCGTCCGCAGGTTACTTAATATCTCTGCGCCTGTTTCCCTATCTGAAAATGAGGACAATGACGGCACATACCTCACAGGGTCATTGTAAGGATTGAAGGAGAGAATCCCACGCAAAACACTCAGTGCTCACTTAGGGAAAGAAGGAGGGATTTTCAATGATCCTTGATTCAAGAGCAAACTTCAAAAGTTAAAGAATCAGTAAGTTAAATGGCGGGAAGGCAGTGTGCGTGTTTGTAAAAACCAGTACCAAGCAATTAAAAAATTTTAATATTCCCACCACTCAAACACAATTCTAGCAGCGGGGATTCTTTAGAATTGCTGACAATTACTAATGAGTCTCCCCAGCTTGCTTTTATTGGTTACATTAATGTTGCAAAATTTATTTTTTCTTTCCAAGATTTAACTGTAGCCAGATTGGTCTAAATGATAAGATTAACCTGATCATCTTACACAGTAAGGAGAATGAGTGTGACCATCCTTTGATGACAGAGAAGGCAATCTTAAACTTAGCAAGGATGGGTGGGTAATGATGGAGCAGGGTGGGAGAGACAAGTTCAGAGAGAGGATGACGGCTTTGCGGTGGCTCTGAACCAATCAGTGGCAGTCCTTTGGGTCCGCCGATGAAACAGAGAAGTGCAGGGTGGAAATGATGAGCCACCCCGCGGACCAGGTAGGCTGTGGACCACTGCACAGGTGATGGGTGTCCCATCTCCCAGCAGGTCCTCTGCAGACTAGGGATCTGGGTTCGGTCAGCCGGCCCTTTCCCCACCTCAAAGGGGTTTGTGCTCACGAAGGACCTTCTAGAAGTCTAGTAGGTAGAAAGCAAAACACAAAAGGAGCAGATCAGGATTTGGGAATCAGGGCAGACACTCCCCACATCTTCCCTAGGCGGCACAGGGAGGACGATGGTTGAAAATAAACAGAAAGGGCTTTTTCAAATATTCTCTGAAAACTGAGGCTGAAACAAGCACAGGTCCCTCCCACAAACCAGAGAGTCCCCTGGGACTACAGATCTGCCTATAATGTCTACTCAGTTATCTAGGGGCATCTTCCCAATTTTAGGGGGCAGGGAGGGAGCAAACACCACCAGGAAGGTTGAAGCTGTGTCTCAGGTTCACCGGCTGCCAGCCAAGGTCAGACATGAGAAAAGACACTGGAATGTCAGGGCAGCAGGACTGAGTGGAAGGAGGGCCAGATGCAGTGTTGAGAGATCCAAGTTCTATGCAAAATCTGACTCCATGGCACCACCTGTGCAAAGTCATCCTTAGGGCTCCAGAGCAGTCAGTGTTCCCCTGCCCTTATAAGGACCCATGACGGCATCAACTTAGTTGATTACCTGTCATTCTTCCCCAGTGGACAGTAGACAAGCTTCTGGAGGGCAGGGATTCTTTTCTCACTCACTGGTGTATCTCCTTTAGAGTGATGTATCAGTTAGCTTTTGCTGCATAAAAACTCCCACACCTTTTGACTTAAAACCACAAACGTTTATTAAACCTCACAGTTTTGTGGATCATCTTGGCAACTCTCATGGTCTGGATCAGCTTGACTGGAGCTGGGTCTAGTCTAGGATGGCTTCACTCCTGTGTCTGGAAGTTGGCCGTTTGATTGATCAGGGAGACGGGGTTCAACTGGGATGGTTCGTTTCTGCTCCACATGGTCTCTCATCCTCCAGTGGGCTAGTCAGCCTTCTTTATCTGGTGGTCTTGGCTCTCTAATACAGCAAGAGATGAAGGTCTCGATGTACAAGCCATCACCAAACTTCTGCTTACATCACAGGTACTCATGTCCCATTGACCAAAGGAAGTCACAAGGCCAAGATCAGGCTCAAGGGGTAGAGATATAGATTTCATCTCTTGATGCAAGGAGCTGCAAAGTCACACTGTCAAGAGGAATTTATGGCCAGTTTTGGAATCTACTACAAGAACTATGCTTGGCACACAGTTGGTAATCAAGAAAGCTTGTTGCAAAAATTAAGAGGGAAATAATGCCGAATCAGGTCATTGTCTACTGCCTTCTCCTCTGCCATTGGCAAATCTACTTCCAGGCTTCCATGGACATGCTTAATCCAGTGTCGGGATCTTTGAACTGGGACAAAACTTTATCCACTGGTTTAGAAAGCTTATTGCTCTTGACTTAAATATGATGGCTCCTTTCTGTCTGAGAGTTGCAGCTTACACATGGACCTCTTGGCCCTATCCAACTCGACGCTGGAGCTGAGCACATTTTTCTGGATTATAGGTTGTGTCCCCACTCCTAGTCTTCGCTCTTTGAACAGATCTGGAAAAGGGGAAACGCTGCTTCTACCAAATCGGGGTCAGCCTTAGCTGCCTGCTCCTCTTTCCGCCAGCTGCTGCCACTTGGGTGCCCTCTGGTGGCCTCTTCTTGCATAGCCCCACTCAAGGTATGAAATTCACTGCGTAAATTGCCAAAAAGTTGGACGGAATCAAGAGCCTTCCATGGGAGAGCTCTCAACATAGTGGAAAGCTAGAGATGGAAAGAAACAGAACAAACAAAAAAACTTAAAAATTACCATCTAGACCTCGTAGCTGGTGAATGCTTGTTTGTTTCAGCGTGACTTCGCCCAGAGAAAAGGGAAAGTAGCAAAATAAAGATAATGCATATAAAAGAGATCCATGTCATTAAAAGTCAGATGCTGGCAGGTAAGGAGCAGCACCATTCTCACTGAGTGAAAATGGTGGAGTTGGAAATGGTGAGATGGTCTGTTGGCTGGATCAGATTGTCCAGGGCCTGGTAGGTCCCCACCACTAGGCCCACAAAGCCCAGGATGCTGATGAGGACGTCCTTGATGATGGTGAGAGGGCTCATGCCCTCCGAGTAGTAGGTGGTGATCTCCAAGAGGGGAGGGATGATGAGGGCCAGGGCGCTGCTGCTCATGGAGCCAACCAGGGAGAGGACCAGGTCCAGGCGCGGGATGAGGATGGCCAAGATGCCTGCGGGAGATGATACAGGATGGATGCATCATCCCAGGCTTAGACAAGCTTTTGAAGTTTGTTTTAAAAATCTTTTTCTTAGAACATAAACTAATTGTTTTTCATACATTCAGTTACATAAAGAAACAGTTGAAAGTTCTGTAATACCCCCAATCACGTTCACTGGAGGTGACACATTAAAAATTTGGTATGTCTCCTTCTAATCATGCTACAAACATACACACTCATATTGTTGGGAGAAAAAACTTTCCCTCTACCCACTTAGGTTCAGTAAGGGGGGCCTGCGAATTTAAGTGGCAATAGACAGATTAACAGGAGAAAAGACAAAGTTTATTTAGTCTAGGGAGCCTTCACATGAACTGGCTGTCTGAACAGCTAAAGACAGGGCTTTATACACCCATTTCAAAAGGGGAAGGTGGGGGGGGGGGCAGAAAGAGCTGCTACACAAGAACAAGAAGGCATGACAGTGTCAGATAAGTTCATTTAAGTAACTACTCAGTCTAAGAGAATGGTTAGTCTCCTTTCTGTCTGAAAACCTCCCAGAGAGGGCATTTATGGCGGCTGTGGTTTTTTTTTTCCCCTGTGGCTTCTGTTTGTTCAAAAATGTTTTTAGCTTAAAATAATTTTTATGCCACTGAGGCACATTTTAAAACCCTACATATTCAACAACGATTAAGCTCTTACTTAAAAAATAACACTTAAATAACAGTGCTTGGAACTGCCCTAGCTGTTTGGGGTATATCGATGTACAAAACACACAAAAATTCTAAAAAACAACCCTCCCTTCGTAGGGCTAACTTTCTAATACTTAACATGACTACAAGCTCCTGTTACTTACAAATGATTAGAATGTGAAGTTATTTGTAGGAGAAAGAGGCCTTCAGTTGGAACAAGGTCGCGGGGTCTCTTTTAAAGAGTTTCTTCGCTAGGTTTCATACATGTCAGAAAACATCCAACAAAAACAGGAAAAGCTAAAGATTTCGAAATTGTGTTTTTTTAAATAGGATGCTTTACAGGCCTGGGCTTTTCCATTTTTTATTTTACTGGATGAAAAATTTTCACCAAGAAAACGCAGAAGCCCTGCCCGGGCCTCCTGTGGAGCAGAAGTGTGGGCAAGCAGAAGAGGGAAAACAGGTCTGGGAGGCAGAAGTCCGCCTTCTCTTTATGTGGTCTTGGGTAAGTCTCTGCCTGTTTCTTAGCTTGTCTCCTCATCCAGAAAATGGGGATAAATGATACCTATCCTTAGGTATTATGGTTTATACTGCACATGGTGTTAAAGTTTTAAATGAATTAATTGATGTAAAACTCTCTGAAAAGTTATCTTTATTATTACGTCAATTTATTTACTCATATGCATTGATCGGGGCAATGCACGCAGAAGCTGTAGTTTTAGCCCTCAGGAATTGCTATCTTCTTGTTTGGGATAAACTCCTTGATCTCTCTGGGGTTCTGAATGGTCATGTCCCTGCCTTTTACGGTAAATTGGAACAAATCACTTCAAAGAAAGAAAACCAGTGCAATGAATTATACAGGTTGGTCTACAGCAAAAAGCCACAATCTCTTCATGGGAGATTCTTGGATCACAATTAAAAGGGGCCTTAGGGAGAGCTGGGCCATGGTCGCACTCAATGCAGGAATCTCTACCATCCCCTTTGCCCCTGAAAAAATACTTGCAGGAACGGGGCACCCCAGATCGTGGGGCCTGGAGCACGGGGAGGGCTGCGAGGGGGTGAGTGAGCTGAAGCCAACAGGTGAGCGCAAGCCCATCCTGGGGGCAAATCCAGTTGACCACTGCCAATGGGGAATGTGACCCTAGGCTTGCCAAATCATTTTGGGTTTTTTCCCAAAAAATATTAGAAATCTGGATTTGTGTATGAGATGTCCCACATTTTTAATGTTGACATAAAGTTTTTATTTGTTATGGTCAAATGACACACCTCTGCCGCCATATGCAACGTCTGTCCTGGAGGTGACTGGCGCTGGCTCTGGACTTAGATGAATTGGGTTCAAATCCCACCTCTAGAACTTCCCTGGCAATTACTTATCACTCCCTGCTTCAGTTTTCTCACTTGTAAAGTAGGGTTTTTCAGAATCCTACCTTGTAAGAGTTCCTGCAGGACTGAATACAATACTGTGAAATATGGACTAAAAAGAGCTTAGCACAGTGGCTGGCACACAGTAGGTGTTTAATAAATATCAGCTCCTATCATTATGATTACTGTTCCATAAGCTGTGTCCCTCCCTTAGGCTAGACACCAGTAAATCTGTGTAATTAGGGACATGTAAGAATTGGGTTGTTCCTGAGGCTGAAATGAGCTACTACTTGGAAAGCCTTAGCATGGTCACTGAAATAGTTAGTGCTCAATCAGCGCTGGTTCCTGACCATCCTTCACCATCTGGCTGATTCCTGATAGATCTCAGGAAAAGAGCAATATTTCGCTCTGCCTTCTACTCACATGTCAGGCAGACCATGGCGAGGCGGATGGACAAGTCCAGAGGCAGCGCCCAGCGCTTGGACACGCGGGAGACAGCGAAGGGGACGATGATTTCTGCAGGGACATAGAACTGCAAGGAGTAGCTGCACAGGATGCCGAAGACGTAGAGGAGCTTGACGGACTGGTACAGCCTGCAGGACAAACCAGAGCAATGCTCTCTGAGGCCACCACACTCTGAGACCCGGTCTCCTTGGACCTCTACCTTGGGCTGCAGTTTCCTTGTCTGAAAATGATGAGGAGGGGCCTTCTGAGAGCCAAGAGGGAGTCAGAGCAGAGTACGCAGTGAAATACAGTGAAGCATCATGGATTCGAATGGCAACAGTGAGAGGGTCATCTTAAATAAAAGGCATCTTGAGCCTGGGTATATACAACACCCTCACAGACCACGATCACTTGATGCTCAATTTTAGAGTTTAGAAAGAGAGGCGCAGGCCAGGGACCTTACCCAGGGAGACACAAGTGATAAGGGGGAAAGACCAAAAACCCTGGGTCCAGAAGACTCTGGTCCCTTGTGATCTCTGTCAGTCCCGAGGAATTTTCTGGATCCCCCAAAGCTCTTGGCACATAACAGGCCCCCCCACAAATGCTTCTAGTAGGTCGAGAGAAGTGCAGAATCCTGCATCTTGGGGGAAGGGGCGGTCTACAAATAGGGCCCTGCTGTGGGGCTCGTAGAGTAAAAGGAGGGGGAGGGGCAGAGAGAGCATGTGAGAGGGATGCTGGGTTTCTTCAAAGCCTTTTTTGACCTATGGAACCATGACTTTTTTCCTTTTGTCCACTGAAGTGGTAGATGCATCTCCCATGTTTAATAAACCCGTGTGTGTGTGTGTGTGTGTGTTTAGTGAATTCCTTAAAAAAGCTAACTTCCACATTTCTGTGTTTCTTGGTCACATTAGTCTTGCTGCCTGGAAACACCATTTTACTCCATTTCCATCTGTCCAAAACCCACCAGTTCTTTGAAATTCCCATCTTTCGAGTAGGTACTACATGCCAGATGCTTTTAGACATGCCCAGCTTCATCCTCATGACAACTCTGCCTTATAGATGAGGAAACTGAGGGTCAGCGAGGTTCAGTAAATCATCCATGACTACAAGCTAGGAGGCAGTGCAACTGGGACCTGGACCCAGGAGTGCCAGAGTTGTCCTTGTTTGGACAGAATTGTCTTGCTGGACAACCAGATTCCTTATTGTCCCATCCCGATGTACTTTCTTTCCTTGGAAGTCCCCAAAGTCTCTTCGCTACCCTGTAGGGCTCTTCTGTCTACGTTACATTAGTGTCTCTGCACCATCTCTCCATCCCCATTCCCAGGGATCATGAGCTGGGGAAGGCAGTGAAGCTCAAGATCACAGTCTACTCACATCAGCACCCTCCACACCCATGACATTTATCAACTTCGGAAAGGAGCCCCGTCAAGGCAAATTAAGCCTCCAAGTGACTTTTAAAAAGACAGGCATCCTGAGGCTGGCCTCATGGCATAGTGGTAAGGTTTGCATGCTCCACTTTGGCGGCCTGGGGTTCACAGACTGCACTGCTCATAAAGCCATGCTGTGGCGGCATCCCACATACGAAATAGAGGAAGATTGGCACAGATGTTAGCTCAGGGACAATCTTCCTCAAGCAGAAAGAGGAAGATTGGCAACAGATGTTAGCTCAGGGACAATCTTCCTCATCAAGAAAAAAAAAAAGACAGGTGTCCTGTAATTAATGACTTGCCTCAGTGTAGGAGAAAATGCTCACAACATGATACGCGCTCATGGGTCTGTTTAGATACAACACTGATGAAGTCGAGGTCACCTAACTGTTGCATGAATTGGGTGCATTTGAATGCCCCAACTGGTTCCTGTTTTACTACTTTTCATCCTAGCTACTCCGACTTGGGGGATGTGCACCATTGACTATGGCAAGCTAGACTTGGTAACACAGCCTTAGTAAATGTAATTGGAAGTGCTGCCATCCACGGACTCCTCTCTGTCTCTTGCCCTTCTCCAGGGCCTCTCCCTTCTTTCCTTAGGTGACCGAGGACTCTCACTTCTTCCCTCTCTTCCTAAACCATGTCCTTCTTCAGACTTAGCTCTCAAGGCCTCACTCAACATGGGAGGCTGTTGTTGAAGGAGGAGCTCCCCGGACAGAGAATCCAGAGCCCAGGGTTCCAACAGCAGCTCTGCTTCTCACTGTGGAGGCTCTCCAGACCTCAGTTTGCCATCTGTGGAAAGGAGGAGGAAGTAATCTACACGTTCCCATCTAGCCTTGAGTCCCCATCACCTGAGGGCCCATGAAGTTACCAGCAGTTGGGCAGGTTAAGGGTTATGCTGGCCTTGATGTCATTTCCAAACCGCAGGTAGCCCAGAGCCCCGATGCCGATGTACATGGCAGTGACGATGGACATTCCCAAGTACAGGATGGCTGGGAAGCGGCGGGCATCCTTCATCTTGTTTTCTAGAGGCAGAACCTACAGAAATATCACAGTGTAAGAAGAGAGGAGCAGAAAGAGAAGCATGAACATAAAGAAGAAAGGCACGCCACTTCTGGGTGTATACCCAGAAGAATTGGAAGCAGGGACTTGAACAACTGTGGTCATAGCAGCATTATTCACAATAGCCAAAAGGTGAAAGCAACGCAAGAGTCCATTGATGGGTGAAAGGATAAACAAAATGTGGTATATAGATACACAATGGAATATTACTCAGCCTCAGAAAAGAAGGAAATTCTGACACATGCTATAGCGTGGATGAAGCTTGAGGACATTATGCTAAGTGAAATAATATAGTCACAAAATGACAGATACTGCATGATTCCATTTATATGAGGTACCTGGAGTAGCGAAATTCATAGAGTCGGATAGTAGAATGGTAGTTTCCAGGGTCTGGAGGAGGGTGGAAGGAGGAGTTATTATTTAATGGGTATAGAGGTTCAGTTTTGCAAGATGAAGAGAGTTCTGGAGATGGATGGTGGTGATGGTTGCACAATAATGTGAATATTTTTAATGCCAATGAACTGTATACTTAAAAATGGTTAAGATGGTAAATTTATGTTAGGTATATTTTACCACAATTAAAGAAAAAAAATGAAAGAAGGCCTGGAGACACAAGATGAGCCCTGGACCATTCAGAACTGGAGGGGCCCCTCAGGTTGTTCAGACCAAGGGGCTCAGCCCGCTGGGGAATCCCAGTCTGGCCAGCAGATGCATTTTGTGTGGCCAGCATAGGTTTTAGACAATGGAATATGAATGCCTTTAGGACAACATTCTTCCCCCATTCACCAGACCCCCTCTCCCCCTCATGCTGACATATACACGGCGCTTCACCCACATTGCCTTCCAAAGGCATTTGAGTTTGAGAGTCCAAGTTCTAGCGCACTCACCCCTCTCTGTACAGATGGGGAGGCTGAGACTCAGGTTACACAGTGGGCTGGTGGCAGAGCTGGGACTAGAGCTTCCTGGTTCCCCAGCAGCACATTGCTCCACACACCATGTTCTCAGGATCCTTCTTCCCCAGATGCAGACCTGGCTCTAAGAGAATCCAAGTTGAGACCATCCTGCCTCTCAAGTCTGCTGGGCATCCGAAGGGCACTTCTGTCTTTGGCACCAACCTTCTGGCCTCTCATCCCATAAATTCCTCCTCAGGCTTCCATGGGCCGAGAGCCTGCCCCCACCTTCTCCTTCTCCTTGATCAGGCCGTGGGCTAGGCATACTACATGCATCAATAGGCTGATCTGTGCCTCAGTATCCTTATCTGAACACTTACCTGTTGGAATTTTTTGGAGAATTACCTGAGGACCATAATGACACACTGTACAGGCTTAGTAAATATTAGCTGTTAATGTTTTTAATATTGTGAAGACCACAGCTCTATGAACCTGGTACTTCTATAGTTCTTATTTTACAGATGAGGAAAACAGGCTCTGAAGATGAAGTAACTTGCCCCAAGTTACACAGTTTGAAAATGGCGGGGCCAGGTTGCAGACCAGGGCTGTCCAAATACTGTCTTCTATTCAATCTTGCCTGTATTCCTACAGCACTGAGTGTGTTTATTATCAGTAGGAACTTAGCATCTATTCCCTTGTACTGTTAACTCCTTTTTGGTCCTACATGCACCTCCCCTCACCATGCACATGGAGGATGCTTGAGGGGAGTGCCATGTCGGGGTCATCGCTGTGCCTTCCCACTTTCTTCTGGGCTAGGGGCAGGTTCTTAGATGCAGCAGGTGCTCAGAAAAATGTCCAGGGGATTATGTTGAGAGCAGATACTCCAACCTGAGCTTTCCTATCCTGCAATACATTTTTGCTGCATAAATTCTCCAGGCTAAAAATGATCTTTTTACAAGGCCAGATCATACTATGTAGCCGGTTTTCTTCCTCTCTCTCTCTCCTTCCACAATGAATCAAAGAGATAAATGGCCATTGACATAGAGTGGAAAGGTCCCTAGACTGGGAGTGAGGGGTACTTGGTTTTAGCCACAGCTGCAGCAGATTCCAGCTGGTGACCCCGCTCAAGACCCTTTCCCTCTTGGGGGCTTAGAGTCTTCGGTAACACCGGACACTGGGCTAGAAGATTTCTAAAGATAACTTGAACTTTGATACTAATAATCATTAGCACGCAGTAGGTGTTCAACCAATACTTACTGAACAAATATCATCATTTTATAGTTGGGGAATTAGAGTCCAGAGAGTAGCCCATGGCCAAAGTAAGATTCCGGCACATTCTGCCTCCAAAGTCATTTGGTCAACCCCTGCACTCTGCTTTTTGCCACAACTGTCCAAAATCCTGAATATAAAATGCTTCCAGTTCCATTAAGATGGTATAAGCACACGCCATCATATTTCTCTCACTGACTAAAACTAAAAAGCCTGGGCAGAATACTTAAAGCAACGGTCTATGGACTCTGAAAAGTAAATAATAGCAGGTAGATCAAAACCAGCAAAAATGACCGTTAGGGCAGCGAGTTTCCTGATGTTTTTCTTCGTGCGTCTCCTAGTTTAGACTCAAGGGAAGCTGAAATCCTAGAATTATGCGGTGGATGCGGACAGAAAAAAACTCCAAGAGAAACCCTCTTTCTGGCCAGAAGACCTAGAATGGGGTCCCTGTGGGACAGAGGATGGCGAGAATCCCTACTTTTCTGTTTCCTTTTTTGCTTTCCGGGCCACAGCCCCCGAGGCGAGTCCCAGTCACAAAGCAGCGTTCTGCTGTATCAACGACTGTGGTGGTCACGCAGGCATCTAAGAATCTGAGACAGCATCCTTCTTTCTGAGCAGAGGAACCAGGAAAAGGGGCTTTGGGAGTCCAAAGAGCGTGGGGAGAATCAGGACTGCTCCATAAACTGTGGGGTCCAGTGCAAAATGAAAATGCAGGGCCTTTTGGTCAAAAATCAAGAATTTCAAGATGATGAAAGCAGAACATTAAACCAAGTGTGGGATCCCTCCAAAGGCAAGGGCCCTTTGTGACCACGCGGGTTGCGTGTCTGTGAAGCTGGTCTTGGAAGGATCCCTATTGGTTTGAAAATATTCTTCCTTCTCCATTTCTCTCGGTGCCTAACCCCAGAGTCAGACCCAGCCGCAGGCAGTGCATAGCAGTCGGGGGAGGCTAAAACCCTGGCTTTCCAGCAGATGACAAAGGAAAACAGAAAAAGGAGCTGTTGAATGTGCAGGGAAACATGGAGAGGAGGGAGCTGGGGACAATGATCCCCTGCATCTATGAGTGAAGTCCAGGGCTTAGCCCTGAGCTGCACGCGTGTCGAACTGACATGAAGCGTCTAAGCGAGGCTTTGAAAACTGACCCATTGTGCAGACCACCATCTACATCCCAGAGTGGTCCCCAAATGGCACACAGGCAGGATGGAGCCAAATATCACTGCAAAGGCTTTGCAAAGTAATCTGATATTGGAACCAAGGCCCACAGAAGGTGGGTCAGGACTTGTGGTCTGAGTCTAATTAGATTGGCTACTTGCTAAAACCAAAAAAATCAATATTCTCCAGAGGATTTTAACGGGCTCCATAATCTCATAAAATAACATTTAAAATGTATAGGATACAGTCTAAAATGACTCAACATACAAAGAACCAGGAAAATCTCAACAAGTCTCAAGGGAAAAGACAACAGATGCCAGCCCTAAGACGACTCAATGTTGCAAATATCCCATAGAGACTTTAAAGCAGCTATTATAACCATCCTCCATAAAGCAAGGGAGAACATTATTGAAATAAACAGACAGATACGAGTTCTCAGAAAAGAAGTAAAATTAATATAAAAGGTCCCAATGGAAATTTTAGAACTGAAAAACCTCATTGGAGGGGCCCAACACAGATGACAGAACACAGAATCAGTGAACTTAAAATAGATCAACAGGAATTATTGAATCTGATCATAAAAGGAGAAAAAAGATTTTAAAAAATGAATAGAGTCTCAGAAACCTGTGGGACATGTACCAAAAGTCTAATATTCAGGTCACTGGAGTCCCTGAAGGAGACAAGAAAGAGATTGGTGCAGAAAAAAATTGTTTTGAAAAAATAATGGCTGAAAACCTCCCAAAATAGGCAAAGGACATAGATTTACAGATTCAAGAAAGTAAGTGAATTTCAAATAAGACAAACTCAGAGAAAACTATATCAGATATATGAAATAACTATATCAATATGACATAACTTTTGAAAAACAAAGGTAATAAAAAAATCTTGAAAGTAACCAGATAAAAACAACCTATTACATATAGGGAAACAATGCTTCAAATAACTGCAGATTTCTCCTCAGAACTGTTGAGTACAAGAGGGGTAACCACATTTTCAAAGTGCTGGAAAAAAAAAAGAACTGTCAACCTAGAATTCTATATTGTACAAAAATATCTTTCAGGAATAAAGGCAAAATAAAGACATTCTCAGATGAAGAAACTAAGAGAATTTGTCACCAGCAGAACTTCTATAAAAGAAATGTTAACAGAGGTTCTTCATGCTGAAGGGAAATGATATGAGAGGGAAACCTGTGAATTCAAGAAAAAAGAAAGAGCAACAGAAATGGTAACTATCTGGGTAGAGATAATGGACCATTTTTCTCCAGTAAGTTTGTGATAAGTAAGTTGTTATAAGTAGCTATGTATTTGTGACTGTTGAAAGCAAAACCCACAATATTGTCTGATGGTGTTTTAACGTATTCAGATGTAGTACATAAGGGCAATAAAACATAAAAGGGGGAAATTAAAGGGATCTACATGAGTAAGATTTCTATGGTTTACTAGAAATGATAAAATATTAGCCCTAGGTAAACTGCGAAAAGTTATATATGTATATTTCAATCCCTAGAGCAATCACTGAAAGTATTATAGAAAGAGAGATAGCAAAAAAATCCAATAGGCAAATTCAAGTGGAATGCTAAAGAGTATTCAAATAATCGAAAAGAAGGTAAGAAAGGGAAAACAGAAGAAAAGCAAAAGGAAGGCTAAAACAGAAACAATAAAATGCAGGCCTAATAACCATAATAATGTTTGGATCCCAGGCATGGACCTACTCCACTTATCAGCCATGCTGTGGAGGCATCCCACATACAAAAAATAGAGGAAGATTGGCACAGATGTTAGCTCAGGGCTAGTGTTCCTCAAGTAAAAAAAAAAAAAGAGGAAGATTAGCAATGGATGTTAGCTCAAGGAGAATCTTCCTCACCAAAAGAGAAAAAATTCACTCAATGGATCAAAGATCTGAACGTAAGACCTAAAACTATAAAAACTCTTAGAAGAAAACATAGAAGTAAACCTTCATGACCTTGGATTTGGCAATATCTTCTTAGATATTAATGCCAAAAGCATAAGCAGCAAAAGAAAAAATAAACTGGACTTCATCAAAATTAAAAACTTTTGTGCATCAAACGATACTATCAAGACCATGAGAAGGCAACCCACAGAATGGGAGAAAACATTTGAAAATCATTTATCTGGTAAGGATCTGGTATCCATTCAGAATATACAAAGACCTCTTACAACTCAACCAAAAAAGACAAACCCAATTAAAAATGGGCAAAGGACTTGAACAGACATTTCTCCAAAGAAAATATACAAATGGCTAACAAAAACATGAAAAGATGTCCAATGTCTTTAGTCATCAGGGAAATGAAAATCAAAATCACAATAAGATATCTCTTCATAACTACTAGGATGGCCATAATTAATAATAAAATTTTTTCAAAAACAGAAACAAGTATTAGAAAGGATGTGAAGAAATTGGGACCCTTATACATTGTTGACGGAAGTGTAAAATGATACAGCTGCTCTGGAAAACACTTTAGCAGCTCCTCAAAATGTTAAACAGAATTACCGTACGACTCAGCAACCTTACTCATAGGTATATTCCACAGGAATCGAAAACAGGTGTTCAAGCAAAAACTTGCATATGGATTTTCATAGCATTATTATTTACAGAGAACAGAAGGTGGAGCCAGAGGTTAGTAGTCGGGGAGGAAGTCGACTACAAAGAGGGCAGCACGACAGAGTGAAGGAATTGTTCTGTGTCCTGACTGTGGTGCATCCATGACTCTAGGCATTTCTCAAAACTTACAGAAAGGTATACCAAAAAAGGGTGAATTGTACTGTGTGTAAATTAAAAGTAAACTTAAAAATTATATATACAGCACTATCCTCCCTTAAGTGTGGAAGTAGAGACTGTATAATAATCCATTAAAAATATATAATACTTTCTAGTTTAAAGTTCCTTTATGTTTCATTAAATCCTATAATTTAAATTGTATACCTCCGTCTTGATCTTAAAAGATTAGGAAACACATGTTGATATGAAGATGAATGTTTAACAGATGTATTGGGACAAGAATAAAACTCTGTCTCTCTGTTGTAACCTACTTTTCTTCTGCTGGTGACAACTAACCCAAGTGAGGCCAGACGTTGCTTTCTCCCGTGTGCCCACAGAAACCCAGAAACCCAGAGCTCCCAGCTCCTGTTCAGAAGGCCACGACAGCACTGGGAAAGTCTACCCCAACCCAAAGCTTACCACGCCAATGCTTTCAAATGAAAACATGGCTGTTCCAAAGAAGAGAGGGTAGGTGTTCCAACTTGCTACCAGTGGCAAACCGCGGGGATCTGGAATTCCCTATAGGAGAGAAAAATGCAGGAAGACATTTACTCTCGAAGCATGTTTGAGCTCCTTTAAGAGGGGAGTATTCTGACAGTAGACCTGAATTTAAAAAAAATTGAAGGTAGAGAAATTCAGAAAACTTCAAAAGGAAGTAGGTGACAATCAAAGTTGATTTTAACCCTGCACAACCAAAGAGCCAGAGGAAAAAACATTGAGGCATTAAGTACTGAAAGGTTAGTATCCCACAGAGAGTTCAGTTTATCAGAATCTTCCAGAAGAGAATCTTACACACCACAGGTTAGTACCAGCCTAAAGTGCCTAAGAACACTTTGAACGTCCTGGTGGTTATGGGTATTGGAAATTACTGTGACTACAGCTACAGTGACATTCTAGGGAGGCCAAAGCAATTAGTTAAATATGAAAGTCCCCTTTTCTTCTTCAATGAGCTATAAACTGAAAGAGAGGAAAGTGTGTGGAATAAATATTTTAGGTACCCTGTGACCTAGAATGTGAGAATAACTACAGAATAGTTTCTCTAATTGGATAACTTCTGGAATAGTCCAAAAACGAATCGGAAGTAGCTATCTTATTAGGAAATTCAATTTCACAGAATTTATCATATTGCCTTAAGGAATATAAGACTTATCTTTAGTTATCCTAAAATATTTGACTAATTTGTTATTTTTCCTGAATTCCATGGACAATATAACTTTTTTTTCTTGTGACTTCTGAAAGAGAAAAACATCTGAAAGCTATTAAGTATGCCAAGGAACTTCTGGGTTTAAACTTCTATGTCCATTATAAAATAAAAATTAGGCAGAATAGAAGAGTAGGAAATTGAGGGAAAATCAATATCCATAACTCAGCTTCAAAGACATTGTAATTTACATTGTGATAGATTTGCCTGTGGTCTTTTGAAACTCTCTATTTTTACCTCTGTGACTAAATATTAGTTGGGTTTTTTTCTCTTGAGTTCCCTAGGGGTAATTTTGGGTGCCTGGAATTGTGGCCTAGAGGATGTAAGACTATGGGTAATTCTATTAAGTTTCAGCTGTAGCAGAAGATCTTGCTTTTCATCTGCCTTTTGCTACTCCCTAGCCACTACAGGAATGGTCTATAGTTCGCCAATCAAGATGCTTTCTAGCAAAGCATAATTTTTCTTTTAAAGCCAGAATTTAACATAAAAACAAGTATTGGAGAAGCAACGTGAAAGAGGAGACATCCAGAAGAATGAGATTGCCTAGAGATAACTTTGTGGAAGAAATGCTACAATGAGGTGAGCACTAGGCTGAAGAATGAGGTCCTCACTTACCGACCCTCAGGGCTGGCCCCAGGTATCAGTCTGTTATTGATAAAAGGCTCTGCCCACTGGAGGAGTCAGGTGTGCGGTGTGCACTAACCTGGACGATGTACTGGGTGAGGATGATCAAGCTGACCAGCATGCTGATGTTGGCCAACATGGAAAAGATGGTCAGGACCCTGAGGTTCCGCACAAAGGCCAGCAGCACCAGGAAGGGCAGGAAGGAGAGCATGTAGAGTCGAGAATCCATGGTGTGTGTCGGAATCACTGTCTCGTTGTAATGGCAGCTGTTGGTTGTGCTATTAACTGCATCCATGACCTGAGGAGGGAATGGGAAAAGCAAGCGGAAGAGTCGCTAAATCTTCTGGCCACACGATTCGCTCAGTGCCTGGGCCATAATCAAATTCCCTCATAAAGAGCTGGAACGTCTAGGGTCTCAGCGAGTTAGGGTGAATTTAGGACTTCTTAGAAATCTTTGGCACCATACTTCCCTAAAAAATGCCGCACAAATAACTTTAATAAAAAATAAATAACTGGATTGATAGTGGCTCTTGGGTGGCTTTTGGCAACGCACGATCCATTCCTGCTGATGTTGGTTTATCTTTGGTGAATTCTCCCTCAGTGAATACCAGCTTGGAGGACTATAAACCACCATCGCACTGCCGAGCTAAGCCAGGGCCTTCACAATCTCTCCCTGGAGTCTGAGTCTAAACAACAGGCAAAGTGACACAAGGACAGAACTCACAAAGGGTAAAAATTAACCGACAGGGCTCCCTGAGGAAACTGCTCATCAGTTACCGTCTACACTCTCCTAGCTGCCCTGCTTCCTGTTCTTTTTGGAGACCCATTTTTTTAGCTTTCTTCGTCATTTTGGAAGTTAGCCAACATTCTTCCACCAAACTTATTTTTTGCTTGAGTTCCCCAGAATCTGTTTCTTTTGCTTATAACCAAAGAACTCATCACTTACTGTTTCCTGATTGGACCAATACTGGCGTTCTGAGAGAACTCTTCCTCGTGAGCATTGGGCCATTCATGGCAGGACCTTTAGCATCTCTGGACCTCACCCGATAGGAGCTATTCACATCCCCCAATCATTGTGACAAACAAGAAACACCCCCCTGCACACAATATAAACACCTGCTGGCAAAGTTGGGGGGCGGGAAGGGATGGCACCAGCCTTGTTTAGAATCTGCATGACTTAATCAACACAGTCTTACTGCACAAGCAGTGCAATCCACCATAGACCAACTAGAAACTAGAGTCAGGATAGGAGAAAATGTAAAAGCACTGATAATCTCAGTACCCATGAGTAGCCATGGATGTTGGATGAATGAATGGATATATTGGAATATATTCATCTATACATTTTCTATACAATATTACAAATAATAAGTTATATGCATCTTTTTTATTTGACAAGGCTGCAAGCATAGCTTACACTCTTATTTTGAAATCTCCTTTTCACCTAACAACACGTGATGAATACTTAAACGAATCACTAGCTCTTGTTTTTTTCTGATTCCTCACTACAGTAGGAAAAATACTTGACATATTAGCTGGGCATTCAAAGCCCTCCATAAATGGGCCCCATTCAACCTTGAAGGCTCTTCCACTCCCAAGTCCCACACCTTCTTCTACAAACAATTGCCTCGCCTCTCGGAGCAAGTCCCGTACATTCCTGCCTCCAGGTATTCACTCCTCGCTTCTCCCACCGTGGGTGCCACCACTTCTCCAACCCCCCCTTCAATGCCCAGCTCAGATGCACCTCCTCCAGGGAGCCTTCCCTTGCTCCGACCATCCTTCCCGCCCCTGTACTTTCCTGCCCCTTAGTTCACAACTGAGCATCCCTGACCTCAGGGTGTTGTTAGTGGTGTCCTGACCCGGCACCAAAATATCATATGGATATTTAACTTTTTATATGTTTCAGAACACATCTCACTTAGCCTGCAAGCTCCTCCAGGCAAGGCTTGCCTTGTCTCTACAGGTGATAAATAAAATTCTGCTGATAGATGAGATCGATTTCTAAGCAGCGGTCTGGCAATTGTTTTAAGAGCCTTCAAAACAAACTCTTTGACCCAGTAAATCTTACTTTAAGAAATATATACTAAGAAATAAAGGGGTGTACAAAGACTCGTAGAGATGATAATAGAAAAACAGATTATAGTAGGAAAATAAAGAGAAACAAAGAAAATATCCAATGATAAAAGACTAAATCATGGCCAATCTGTGTGATGGTATATTATGAAAGTATTAAAAATTACATGAAAAAAATGTAGGGACATTGCAAAATGCTAACCAGTTAAAACTAAGTTAAAACGATAACCATGAGTAGTTGGATTAAGACTGATTTGTTTTGTTTTGAGAAGCAATATAGCATAGTGTTTATGACCTGAGCTCGGACATTAAAAGGGCTGCTTTTTTAATTTTGGTTCTGTGATGTTATATACCTTATAGAGTTTACGGCATCAGTTTTCTTTTTCTTTTCTTTGCTTTTTTTTTTGAGGAAGATTAGCCCTGAGCTAACTACTGCCAATCCTCTTCTTTTTGCTGAGGAAGACTGGCCCTGAGCTAACATCCATGCCTATCTTCCTCTACTTTATATGTGGGACACCTACCGCAGCATGGTGTGCCAAGCGGTGCCATGTCCACACCCGGGATCCCAACCGGTGAACCCCGGGCCGCTGAAGCGGAATGTGCGCACTTAACCGCTGCGCCCCTTGGCCGGCCCCTAGCATCAGTTTTCTTGTCTGCAAAATGGGAATAAGTACAGTGCCTGCTCTCATGAGGTCGTGGAGAGAATTAAGCGAAGGAAAGCACATAAAATGCTCAGCACTGCACCTGACACACAAGAGAAGCCAACTCTGAATGTTCACTATTTTTTTTGTTCTTTCTAATTTTTTAATATTTCCAAATTTCTGACATTACTATAAGCAGAAAAGAGTCCTAAAGAATAGTTTTCTTTTTTAAGTTTATTGATTGACTAAGGATGGCCTCTGTTATTACCCATATTATTTTGCTGAAGCTACAAGATAACTTGTGGTTTAGATAAAAGGACTTCCTGGAGACGACTGTGAAGCCATAGGGATTAAGCAGTTAAAGGCAGATTAAGAAGGCCCAAAGATGAGGCATCATTCAGAAAGACCCATATCAGTTCCAGAAGAGTTAAGGAGGATTAAGCTCCAAGGCACGATGAGTGACAAAATCCAGGGTCCTTCCAGCTCAATTGTAGAGACCAACCTTGAGGACAGGTCCAAGATAGTGGATAAAGGGTATCGCGGAAAAAGGAACCGCTTCTAGAAACCTGCAGACATGTGCACTAGGGGAAGTCTGGGTTCTTCGATAATGGCCAGTTTAGCTTCCCTTGTTGTACTGATGAGGACACTAGGACCCAAAGAGAAGAAGCCACTTGTCGAATGACTAGCAGAAGACCCTCCTTTTCCATATTGTTTTCCCACCCATCTTCTCTAGAAGACTTTACCTGTTTTAAATTATCAGCCAGAAACACAATGTACACACAGCAGAAGCCCAGTTGGGTGACTATAAGGAAAAAGCTCACAATACGCCTGGAAGAGAGGAGAGAGAGAGAAAGAAAACTTGTTATAAAAGAAGAATTGGCTTGTCGTTTCCATTTCTGTCCCCAGGGGCTGGTGACCCTACACCAGCACCCTCAGTCCTGCCACCACAATCAACAATGGGGCAGTAAGAAGTGAGGTAACAATAGTTCTTTTAAAAGATGTTGTTCAACCACCCTCGCAGTCTCAGCTCAGCAAGTGGTAACATTCTACCTGGTCAGGAGCCTCCCCTCGCACCTGGCTCCGCGGCATTCCTCGTAATTGGTAGTAATTGATGGAGGGCAGTAGGCAAAACATTTTTATTAGCTATCATGAACATTTACAATTTTTTTCTCCCATGTGCCAGACATCATATTAGGCATTGAGGATACACAGACAAATGACACATGGTCCCTTCCTCTAGTGGTTTATAGACTAGCGGGTGAGATGGACAAAGAAACAATATGACACCAAGGGCTGGGATAAAAAGGGCATTTTATCCAAATTATGAAGTAGACAGAAAGCCTTCTTAAAAAACCAATACCTGAGTGGGAGTTCTTTGGGAAAGGGAAGAAAGAGAGAGAGAAAAAAGAAGATGAGGATTGACTTGTTCTGTGTCAGAGCTAAAAGGTGGGAGCTGTAGGAGGAAGACTTCAGCTCACCAAAGGTGCCTTAGAGCTTGGTCTTTCTCTCTCTCTTCTTCTCACTATGAGCTCTCTCCCTAAGTGAGCTCTTCTGCCCATGGCTTCTTCAATTCTGTATCTCCTCCATCCAACTACCCACTTGATATCTTCACCTGAATGTCTCTCAGGCACCTCAGACCCAACTTACCCCAAGAAGTCATCAGAAATCGGAGTCAACCTTGACTCTTTCCTATTCTTGGCAATCTTGGGATCCAAATCACAACCAAATTCACTTTTCTCCATCCCTACTGCCATCAGTTGATCCCAGCCATTGTTGCCACTTGCCTGGACAGTGTCAATAGCCTCCTGTGGGTCTGACCAAATCTATTCTTGCTCCCTTACAATCTATTCTCCTTACAGAAGCCAGACAGATCATTAGAGAATCTAATCTCCTTACAGAAGCCAAACAATGCATATTTGATTGCTTCCCTGATTAAAACCCTCCAATGGCTTCCTTCTTGCTTTAAGAAAAGAAAAGAATCTTTAAGAGGGTCTAAAATGTACAGCTTGATCAGGCACCTGGCTCCTCCTCCAGCTTCATCTCCCTGACTCTTGCTCCCAAGCTGCCTGGTCTTTCTGTGCCTTGAACCTGCCATGCACTCTTTCCTGCTTTGGCATCGTCACACCTTGCTCTTCCTTCTTCCTGGAAGTCCCTCCAGGCTCCTGCCCACATTCTCCTAGTCATTCCTCATTCTTCAGAACTCCTTCCTTCAGAACTCATCTCAACGGTTCCATCCTAGGAAGCCCACCCCAGCTCAGCATCTCAGCATCTCCTTACCTGCCTCAGTTTCAACTAGTACTTCTCTCCTTCATCGTACGTATCCCAGTGGTTATTAAATAACTCTATCCTAAGCTGTTTAATGTCTGCCTTTCCCACTGGAGTATGGGTTCTGTGAGGGCAAAGGCTTGTTTGCCTTGTTCCCCGTGGTATTTCTAGGGGCTGGTACATAGTAGCAACTGGATAAATGTGGTTTAATAAAAAAGTGAGTAATATTAAGGTTGCATGGCAAAGGAATGAGCACCCTGTTGCTGGAGGTATACAAGAAGGGGGGCTGGATCAGGGATGTTGCCAATGAACCCCTTCCACATGGGAAGTCCAACATTCTGTGCCATGTGAGCCAGCTTTCCAAGGAAGAAGGCATTCCTGATAGCCGCACTTCCTCCTCCTGTAGCCTACCCCACTGCAGACAAAGCAAGAGCAACTCACCTTCCCCAATGGGCGTGGTTCTGGAGCCAGGCACTGGGGCCGGCTTTGAGTCCATACATCACCGTGTCCCCATAGTCCAGAAAGGGCTTGTTAAGCCTGTAGGAGAAAGTGCCTACAGTTACCCAGAGGTGGTTTAACCTAAGATCATCTACAGAAAAGTCAGGAGACACATAGCAAGGCAAAACCCAGCTGGAGTGGAAAGAACACTGTGGCAGAGACCCAAATTCTAGTTTAGATTTTGACACCTGGTGGCATTTTCTTGGTGGCTTGTTTTCCTTTCCTGTCAAGCGAGGTGGTTATTGCATAACAAGCGTAATAACACACACCTTGCTTGAGTACAGTACTTTCATATCCATGATCCCATTGGATCCTCACGACAATTCTCTGAGGCAGGGTTACACATGGATTGTTTATGCCCATTATACAGATGAGCCAAGCGGATGAGAACAATGGCCTGATTGAGACTGCCTAACAAGTCATGCAGCAGAACCTCGCCTTAGGTTCCTGCCCCAAATGTTTTTCTCTTTTTCTTGGCCATGTTGGAGGAAATTAAGAAGTAAACTCTTGTTATGTGTAGGGCGTTTCTGAGATGTCCCTGAGAACTGAGCACCCAAAGAATTGACATGAGGACGCTGTTTTCCTCACCTGTGGCAGAAGCGCTGGGCACACCTGACCAGGATGTACATACAGTGGGTGGAGATGAAGCCAATTGCCAGCAAACTGAGCGGGCCCATCTGGGGGAAGGGGAAGCCAAGGGGCAAGGGAAGAGAGAAGAGAATGGATTTGTGAAGAACGTGGTGGGGAGGGATGTGGTAGTGCAGATATCATTCAGGACTCAAAGAACTTTCTAGCAAACTGGTTTCCAAGCCCTTTTTTGCAGTAGCAGCTCTTCTTTCAAATATAATCTCAAGCAATACTCTGATAAAGTACATAAAACAATTACAATGGGGTGTTGTGGTGAGAGTAGGGACCCAGAATTCTGACCCTTCGTGGCCTCTGAGGCGTCCCTGAGAACTAGTGTTCTATACAGCACAACTGGAAAACTAGTCCTAGTCTGACCCCTGCATTCCACAAGGGAGGAAACTGAGGCCCAGTGAGTGGACACATGGCTTGTGGAGGCCACTCTAAGTCTGTGGCAGAGTCAGAACTCAACCCAGGCTACGCGTCTAGACTCCAAGTCCAGATCAAGCTGCCTCCCAGAAAGGCATTGCAAGCCACTATAAACCCTTACAGCCTCTCCTCCCGCCTCCCTGCTACCACCCTGCCATAGTGGCCCCACCTGCGGCAGCCCCTCTTACCAGGATGCCTGCGTTCCTCACAGCCAGGGGGAGGCCCAGGATCCCTGTGCCTATGTTGCTTTTCAGCAGGTGAACCAAGGTCTGGAACTCTCTAAAGCAGAGGAAAACGACGTGAGGATGTGGGTGCGCGGAGGTGAGGCAATCCCATGGCATTCCCTCACAGCAAGCCGACACCTGAGTTCAGCTGGAGAGGAGGGCTCCTGGCCTTCTCACAGTCCCCACTTAGCTGGTCAGCAGCTGAGTGAAGCTGGTAAGATCACTTGCCTGGCACCTCTGGGTCTCCTGTAAAGTGACCAAGCATCCGGGTTTGCCCAGAACTGTCCTGGTTTTAACAAATACTCAGTGAGTGCCATTCTAACGCTTACTGTTTAACAGACACTACACTAAGTACTTTACATGCATTTTTTTCATTTAGTCCTCTTTTCAAGAGTAGGAAGTAGGTTATTGCTTTCATTTTGCAGTTGAGGAAACTGAGGCATAGAGATTTATTTTAATGACTTGTGCAAAGATATACTGGGGATCCAGGATCTGAACCCAGGATGGCTTCAGAGTCCCTGTTCTTTGCCCTACTTCTACTGGACTGCCTCCCGGAAAGAGGCCCTGACAGATGAATAAAGGGACAACCCCACTTCATAACCAAGGACACTGAGGTTCAGAGAGGAGGCAGTAAATAGCCCAAGTTCATAAGAGTAGCAGCAGAGACAGGACTGAACTCAGAGAAAAGGGATAAGGGCAAAGAGAAATCGCTGTGACTTCTGAATAAATAGCAGATGACTTGGGTCCCCAGATGGGGTCTGTTGGGACAGGGTTCCTTAGGGATTGGGCTCCAGAGGAATTTTGTTTTCTCCTCAGGCCAAAATATCAAGCTGGGGAATGGCATGTCTCCTCCCACCCACAACAGAAACAAAAACTCAGACTCTTCCTTCAAGACAGATGTGAAGGGAGTCCAGAGGATACCCTCAGGGGTAAAATTCCAGGGATATACCTTCTCTGTTGGTGAATTACAAACCGCAGCTATCTCTACATCTCTTTGTACCCGGCCAGGTTAAAGCAAGGTGTGTATTGGGTTTACACCCACAGTTTAGAAGCCTTGGGAATTCCTCACGAGAACCTTCCAGGAAGGAGACTTTTTTGAAGAGCAGTGGAGGTATTCTGGAAGGAGCCTGGCCTCTGAGGTTGGGAAAACCAGGGATTAAATCTCAAGCCCACTGCTTAACTAGCTATGTCATCTTGGGCAATGTGTCCATTTTGCTGAGCGTCTGTAAATGTTGGGAGGAATGACATTTTGAAAGAACCGCCACAAACACCCATATCTTTATGTGAAAGCCCTAAATCTTCTGGCTTCCTGAGGACCTGCCCCTTGATTGGTTAAGGGTTAAAGAGAACAATTAGGGGAGAAGGGGGTGGAGAGTCTCCGCGTGCCTTTCTTCTCCCTGTGGGTGTCAGCATCGCTGACAGAGCACTGCGCCCTACAGCCCTCCAATGGTGGGCTTGTTTTGCAACTAGAAAAGGGTCAACGGGTCACTTTGGAAATTTCTAAGTAAAGGACTTAGGAAATCAGAATTTAACTTTGGGCCACTCAGCCAACTTAAAAACAGTGCTGTGAGTTATGCAAAGCACTGAGTGGGGAGGCAGGAGACCTGCGTTCTAGCCCTCATTTCTTTCGTGACCTTGGACCATCATTGTATTCACAGCAGCTTACAGGCACTGCGGTTGGCAGCTTTATGTGCAAATCACCTTTGCAGCCATCCTAGGCAGAGCGAACTGTCATTTCACAGAGGAGAAACTAGGGGATAGAGAAGTTCCATCACTTGCTCAAGCTGGTAAGCAGCTAAGTGGGAATTCGAAGCCAGGTGAGCTGACCCCATAGGTACCATGCTTTCCTTTGCTCCAAGCCACGAGGGGCCCTCTGGTTCTCACTTGCTTCATCTCTTTGATTCTCAAGTAGCTGAGACTGCCACGAAACCACGTGTCAGTTCAGGGCACAAGAGCTAGTTGGTTCCCCCAAGGCTTCTGATTGAGAAATACCCCTTCTCGGCAGTGGATGGCCTCAAGGCCTAGAAAGCTCACCCTCAGGGTCACCAGTTCTTAGCAACCCCAGGACTAGCCCTGGGGCAACTGAACCATGTTGTAGTGCCAGACATTGTGTCCATCTCTAAATTGTCCTGCAGGGTGGCAACAGAGAGTGGGGTTACCTGCCCCTTATAGTAACTTCTCCGGCCTTGCTGCACCCCCCCCAACACCCCCCCACAACCCCCCCCCCCAACAGATTTAATTTCCAGGCAATCTCCTTAAATTCACACTGCCACCAATTTATCCCTGCTTTGCATACGGGGAAAGTGAGGCTTAGAGAAGGGAAGGAGCAGAATCACAACTTGAATGGCAGGTGTTCTTTCCACTATACCAATGGTGTCAAAACATTTTCCTTAAAGCAGCAGAACTCTCACCACCACGCCACCCCACCCACTCTTCTTAAGTGAACTAGGTACTCAGCTTGAGTGGTGGAGGTGAAGGGAGCTGGAGCCCTGTAGCTTGGCTTCTCTGCCTGAACTCCTTCCGCAGATCCCTTCTTCTCATGGTTTGAAAACCTAGTGAGTTATCCCCCCCCACACATACCCCTGGGAGGTGGAAGAAACTAGACTCTTCCACATACTGTGCTTTTGATGCCATCCCTGCAATTCTCAGTGGAAGCAGAGGCCGGGGGATCTCCAGAAGGCAGGGAGGAGGCAATGCTTGCTGTCAGTGAGGACACTGCTTTCCCGCTCAGGTCTCACCTTCTCCTGCAAGAAGTTGGGACTCTGCCCCTTTCCCCAACATTGTCAGGATTGGCCAGGAGAAAAACTGACTTTAGGACCAACACTGGATTCTAGCCCCCACTCTGCCAATGACTCAGTGTGTGGCCTGGAGTAACTGGGCCTTAGTTTGCCCACCTGTACATGGTGGGTGCTGGATCACTACATCCCTAAGGGCTTTCTGACAGTCTCCACTCCTGCCCCTTTAAGCTTGCATCTTGACCCAGCCTCTGACTACACTTTTTGCAACTTTGTTTTCCTCAGCTGCACAATGGGTTGGGGGTGAGACCCCACCCCCACCCCCTTGGGTTTTTTGCCAATGTAAGCTTCCAGGCTGCAAGGAGGAGGTAGGGATGGCAGAAAAGAGCACTCACGTTATGCCCTTGGTCTTCTCCGAGTCTGGTGACTCAGAAGGGTTTCCATTCAAGAAACTAGAGTCCTTGTTCTGCAGCTTCTTGGCATTTTCGGGAGGGCCCCTGAGGTCCAGTTTGAGGTCAACAGCTCCCTGGGGACCCTGCGCACTCTTTGTCACGGGCATGACTGCTTCGGAAAGAGAGGCCTCCTGTGATGAGGAGGTCTGAGCTGAAGGAGGCAAGCAGGAAGGTGTCTAGTCAGGTGCAAACCCCGTCTCAGCAGCGTGTGCCTTAGCAGGCTCTGCCCAAGCTGGAATGAGGCCCCGCCCACCTCCCAAGAGGATGCTCCTCCCGCCTAAAGAAGCCCAGTGGAAGAGGAGTGCCGGAGGAGGGGGCGGGGGAGGAGGGCAGGGATTTGGGAAAGGAGTCATCCACCCTTACCTAACAACAGAAATGGCAACAGCGACTACAATGCTGATCATTTTAATAACTAATACTTATTAAGCACTTCACTAAGGGATAGACATTCTTCTAAATGCTTTACCTATATTTTCTCATTTCATCCTATAATTAAATAATAAATCAGGCTCTGAACTAAAGGAACCTGCCTGGGTCACATACCTAGAAAGTGTCAGGTCCAGAGTAAGGACTGGAGCCCAGCTTGCCAGACTTTTTAACCAATACCCTATTGTCACCTCCAGGAGAATACCTACACACCCCCACCTCCTTATGCGTCGCAGGGGCGGGGGCTCCATTTCCCACTGGCTGCACATCTGCTGTAAGGCGTCCTTCAGAGAGCTCCCTTTTCTTAAATTGGAAAAACAAGGAGCAATCACTCAGCTCTAACTGCTTCTTCGCTTTTGTGAGGCTCCAGGGCGAGAGCAGTGGGGATTCTTTTGGAAAGAGGGGAGAGGCGGAGCTTGTGCAACTCCCAGCCGCATTTCATGGGACAGGATGCTGGCGCCAGGACCTTCAGGATAGAACTCCGCAGCTAAAGGCGGCCTTGGGGGTTTCTCTGGTGTTCCATTCTCTGTCATTATCTCTGACAGATGGACGGGCCAAAATTTCCTCCTCTCTCAAAATTATAGCCTTTTGCTCAAGCCATACCACTCTCCGTGCCATCTCCTCATGTGCCACGAGCTTTGCTTAAATGATTTCACCGCTAACTGGTAGCATCTGAGACAGATTTGTCGGGGCCCCTCCCTTACATGGATCCCTTCCCAGGTCCTGTGTGCAATTTTGAATTCGTAATTTTGTATTCTTTTTTCTTAGCGAGGCCCTCTCCACCCCTTACTGCTACTCCCCATCCCCTCCCCAGTGGTATAAGCTTCAGGCTCCACAAAGCCTGGGGGCTTTAGCATCGTTATTTTGTTTTAACTGATTTGGAAGCTGAGGCTCAGAGAGGTAAAGAAAAGCTTGCCCGATGTCAGAGCCCAAACTCTACCCTAGCCAGATCCTTCTATCTCTGAAGCCTGTGGCTTTGACCACCACACTGAATACTTGGTTTGAATCCTGGTCCCACCCTTCGAGTTTCTTGTCCTGAATCAACTGCAACACTCACTGTGGTTTGAGAAATGTCCTCTGTTCACTTGTCTGGCACCATGACGTGGCAGTGTTGCTGGTCCATGGGGCCTGGCAGCGGCATCCTCTGGCCTGCTCACTCACAGCACTGAGATTCCATAATTCGATTCTAATCTCAGATCCCATCCCACTGACAGATCTTTGTTTTCACTCCAGCAACAAGAGCAGTAAATAAGATTGTCAAGGAACTTGAGATGTTTAATTTTTTTTTTTTATGAGGAAGAATGGCCCTTCGCTAACATCTGTTGACAATCTTCCTCTATTTTGTATGGGGGATGCTGCCACAGCATCGCTTGATGAACAGTGTGTAGATCTGTGCCTGGGATCCGAACCCGTGAACCCCAGGCCACCAAAGCAGAAGATGCAAACTTAACCACTACACCACTGGGAAGCCCCTAGAGCTTGAGATGTTTAGACACGAGGCTAGTTCTGGCTTTCCTCTCCAGGGTGTGAGAAGAACCATGACTTAATCTTCAGATCTTTGGGAAAGGGGCCTCAGACTATCGGGATTTGTGTGGTGCCCTTCCCAGGCATCATCAGCTCAAAGGAAACTCGCTGGGCAGTGCCAGCAGACTTGCAGCTTGTTGCACCCCCTTTCAGCAGGCCAGAGGGCTTCTTCCACTATGGGAGCCTCCAAAATAAGCCCTTTGAACACTGGCCCAGGCGTCTGTAGCTCTGGGTTCCACTGTGGCTCTGCCATGAAGCTCTTGTGACCCTGGGAAGTGTACTGCTCCTCTCTTCCCGCCTTGTGAAATGGGTACTAGATGGTAGAGAACTTCCAGAGGACTGAGGACCCCAGGGCCTGTGCTTGTCATCCCCACTGGAGGCTGAGATGCAGGCCCAGCTTCCCTTGGGTTGGGGTATATGCAACTTTTGCGAGGACAGCCTATGCACTTGGTATCTCCATAGACGGCTTTGAATGGGCTTAAATAATGATAATCTTTTATGACCTTTCATGGTAAACAGAGGGCCTTGTTTCCTTCATTCTTTCACGGTGGTTTTGAAAGGTGTGTGTCAGAATCATTTGGGGAGATAATAGAGCACACAGAGACCCAGACTCATTGCAGTAGGGAGACTCTGGGCCTTTGTATTTTCACCAGGTTCCCCAGGTGGTTCTGATACTGGCCCAGGTTTGATGTTCTATGGGGTGGCAGGAACTGCCCCCTGTTTGATGGTTTAGAGAACCGAGGCAGAGAGCTGGGAAATGCTTTGCCTGAGGTTGTGCAATCTGGTGGAAGTGAACACAAGTACTCCTGTGGGCTGGAAGCTGGAGACTCCAGAAGCAACAATGAAACCCCTACCCAGATGGAATTCGTCACCCAGCCCTTGTTCCCCACGTGCCTCCATATAGCCTGTGGCTGCTTACCGTGGCTCTTCCCCCTGCCTAGATAAGAATAATAATAACTCCCGTGCATTGAGTCTATTCTGAGTGCCTAGCTCTAGGCTAAGTGTGCTATGTAAGGTAGGCACTATTATTACTCTTATTTTACAGATGGGGAAACCCAGACTCAGAGAAGTTACTTCACTTGCCTCAGGCGACTCAGTGCTAGAGGCAGGGCTTGGATTTGAATCCAGGCCTCTTGGAAGGTGCCTCTGAAGCTATAGTGTAGTTACCCTTGTGTTCACCTACTCTGCTAAATGCATATTAGAAACTCCAAATAATTACAGTGAAAAAAAAAAAAAAAAACCCTTCCATGCACATAGTTTCTGTGGTTCAAGACTGGGATTTCATGTATCAATCAAATTTCCAAATGAATTTTAGGGACTGGCGTAGATGGCCAAATTCTCGTTTTTCTCTGGAAGGATCTTAAAAGTATCACTATCATTTCTTAAAAGAAAGAATATTTCGACTTCAAAAAGCTGGAAGGACGTAAGCTCAGGAGAAAGGACCATGTTCGCAATGCTAAGAGCGCTCGCTCCTCCCTTCCCAGCAGGTTGCTGAGCTGCGCCATGGGGATCCCCATCCGTGAAACGCTGCTGAGGGTCTCCCCTCTCGAGGCAGGAGTGAGGAGTAAGTGAGAACAGGGGCAAGTACAGTGCCTGGGTCACAGTCGGGGCCCCACAGAGGGGAACTACTTTTATTCTCTCATTTTATCACTAGGGGGACCTGAAAGGTCATCTCGTTGAGCTGCACTCTCTCTCCAGTCGGGGAACTGAGGCCCAGGAGGGGAGGGGACACAGTGAGTTAACAGTGGTGCCATGGCGGACCGAGACTGTAACCCAGCTCAGGTGTCTTGGTTTCCAAGCCCCGTCACTCTTACCACTTCCAGGTGCCTTAAAATGCAGGGCCAATGGGAAGATTCCTTCACTTAGCCAATGTTGACCAAGTGCCCACCATGTGCCAAGTGCTATGGCAGGAACTGGGGAGAACGTGATGAGCAAACAAAACGAGTGCCTGTGTCTTAGCTAGAGCTGTATAACAGAAGACCACAGGACAAACAGTGCAAGCACAGGGAGCAGCAAATCAGATATCCATGGAGCAAAGGGCAGTGTTTAGTGGAGAACAAAAAGGTCATTGTGGCTGAGTGTGCTGCTCCAGGGAAAGGGGTGCACAAGGTGAGGCTGGACGAGTGGTGGGATCAGAGCACGCTGGGCCTCATGAGCCATGGTGTGAGTCTAGACTGCATTCTCAGGGCAGTTTGGAGCAGGGGGAGGTTTTAGGCAAGGCGGTGGCATCATCGCTGGCTACCGTGAGGATGTAGATTTTAGGCAAGGAAACTTGGTAGGAAGCTCTTGCTGTCTTCCAAGTGAGAGAAGATGCTGGCTTGGACAAGCGTGGAGGTGGCGAGGATGAAGAACTACTGTGAACATTAAGTAACACAATGAGTGTTAAGTACCTGGCACATAGGAAGTGCTCAATAGATGGTAGCTCTTGTTATGATATCCGCATCATTATCTTCTGCTGAAAACAAACCTAACTGAGTGACTCACATTGGACAGTAGGAGCAGAGTTGACACCCATGACAGGTGAGAGAGGCCCCATTGTGTCCTCATTCCTGTTCACCAGGTGAAGCCACTTGCTGAAGCCACTGACCTTCTCTCCCTGCCCCACTCATCCTCCCTCAGCAAGTTCAGAAACCCAGAAATGTGTCAGAGCCCATACTCACATACAAGAATACATCATCAGGCCACTTAGGGGTTCTGAGGGATGGTTTTTAATTTTATAAATGCCATGGTAAGTCCAGTGGACCTTTAGAGATTAGACCTAATATAATATTTGCATGAAAACTCCTCAAGATGTCATTGACTGGGCCTTTCTCTCTCTCTCTCTGCTTCTGTCTGTCTCTGTCTTTGTCTCTCTCTCACACACACGCACGCACGCATGCTTCTCTCCAAATCCTCCTCAGCAGCCCAAGGCCCCATCAGCCCTCACTTGGTCAGCAATCACGTCCTCACTGGTCTTCCTGCCTCCTCTTTTGCTCTTCTGGCGTCCATTCTCCATTCAGATCTTTCTAAACCTCTTCAGTGACTTCCCAGCACACTTGGAAAACATCCAAACTCTTTACCAGCCCGGCACAGCCCCCTACCTGCCTCTGCACTCCCCTCAGGCTCTGTCCTCTTCATCACGGGACTCGCTGTCCTGGCCTACTTTCAGCTGCTCAAACGTCCTCCCAGGAGGCCTTCTCCCTTACCCTGCTCTGCCTGGAACACCTGCCAACTCCTTACCCCGCCCTTCTCCCCAGTTTTCCCACGGCTGGCTCCTTCTCTTCTTTTTGGTTCTTGGCTCCAGTGGCCACCTCCTCAAAGTCCTTTCCTCACA